GTCGGTAAGTTGGATATGTGGGTATTTAAAGGATTCATAATTTCTTAGCAATGATAAATTAAGATACATATACACAAATATATAAGCTTTCCCCATGAAATATTAATTGAGTTTTTAAACACTGGCATGTTTTTTCCCCCTTGCAGTATAGTAGTAGATTGGAGGATCTTTTCCATTTATTGTATTTGGCTGTTTCAGCACAAGTAATCCTGATATCTTCATTTTTTTTTCCTTCTGTTTGATTAAAACCTGCATGTGTGTACAATGATCTTTTGGCATACTTCCATTGCATTAACAGTGAAATTTCCTTTTATACATGACCACTGTTTCAGATCTGTACTGCTGCTATAACAGTTAACCTTTCTGTTCTTAATTTAATAATTACTTGATTTCCAAGACTGTTTCAGCATAACTAATTTTAAACAGTTTTCAGATAGTGAATATGAGTAGTTGATTAAGAAGTTTTTCATGTAAAGAAACTTTCAATGTATACAATATTAGTGTGTTTCTTTTTAAATTTAGGGTAGAAAAGTGAATAGTATGCAAAAAGTATAGCTACAGTGCATCTACCATTGAAACATTATTGGGGTATGGAAATGTTCAAGCTTTTTCTTTTTTTTTTCTTTTTGCAGTATAGATAAGCTTTGTTCTGTAAATGCACAAGTCCAATCATTGAATCAACTTAATTTTTTATGTACTTGAAATCACTTTATTACTCTATAACACTCATGCTGAAGTTCTGATATTTTGTTGAAATCCATTGTTTACTCTTTGCATATTTGTTGGCTCTTTGCATATTAATATATTAGACTACATGCAAATACAGTCTGTCTTGCCATTGTCTGTTGAAGTGCAGGTTTGATCCAGCCAGTATAGAACTAGCTCTGTAGGGGTGAGGAGGACTGTGCTGTGTATCATCCTTGATTGTGTTCCTTCAAGGAGCATTGCACTGTAAGTACATCAGAATGACAAATTGATGAACTGCAACAGTATCTTTTTGTCAATGTTCCACATAATGTAAATGCCATACTTTGTGTGAATATTATGTTGGAATACAGTGCTGATATCTTGGAAAACCATAACTGCTTCTTAATTTAACATAGAATAATACATAGGTCTGTATTTTTTTTTTAAGTGAGCTTAATGGGTAAGTATTTTTGATATGCTTTAGCTATAGCTAAAGAAAACTGATCATTAAAATTGAATAGTATTACTCATTGGTGCTCCTAAAATATATTGTTTTTCAGTGTACAGTATGCATATCTTCTATATTAATATGAAAGACTTGAAATGTATCAGACAGAGTGGTTTTCAGTTTGCAAATATTAAGCAATGTAGCAGTTTAACACCATTTCATAAATATATATTAGTTCTTTCATTGGTGGGGAGCACCAGTTGTTCTGAATATACTATTAAGGGAGATGTACAAGGACATAAATGTTGAGATTACTTACAGGGTAGAAAATAGCAGTTCAGTTCATTACAGATATTTTGAAATGTTTTTGATTGTTTTATAGAACCTGGAGTGACTTCCCTTGCCCTTATTTAGATATGGATATATAGTTCTAGTTTCAAGTTTAATAAGGAGTTAGTTATGTGTTATCTTTAAGAGTAGGGTTATTGACATGAACAATTTCAGTATTTTGCATGATACTGTTTTATAGATGACCTTTTAGGAAAGTGGTGCATTTATTAATTAAACTGAAGAAATAGTTCAGTTGGATTCAGTATCATAACTCACAAATTGGAGGCTGTTGATTTTGATTCATTTAAGGTTTAAAATCTTTATTAATTGCAAACAGTGCAATTATTTATACTTCACAGTGCCTTCCCAGACCTTCCACCTTAGGTTCTGCTGCAAAAAGCAACAGGTAAGCACAACCTAAGGACATATATAAATAAATATTTCAGTACATTAATGTTGTCCCTGTGAGGTTTTTGTGGTTGTGTAATTCAAAAGCAATCTGCTACTGCTTCCCCAAAATGTATTTTGTTATTTATGCTACCATTTCAGTGGAAAGTCTGTAAGTTGTTCAAACAACTGTTTACATTTCTGGGTAATGGTTTTTGTTTTTTTGTTTTTTGTTTTTTTGTTTTTTTTTATGAAAACAAGAAAAAAATGATGAGTAGATTGCTGCTGTAATTGAACTACATCCAAACTTTTTGTAATCTTTTCCCAACTATAGAGGGATTGTTAAAATTAAGAAAGGGCAATTACAGTTTTCTAGATTTAGGAAATCACTTGGTTAGAAACTTCAACAGCCTTCACAATCTTTTTATGATTGACAGGACATTTTCTTTGCCCTCCAAAGCTATGGAGTCTTTATTTTTTTCTCATTCTTGAAGTATAATAATTCAGTAAGGACATTATGGGTCAGAGTTTTATTATGACTTTTTTTTTTTTAGACAATTCAGTTTTCATAATCTTTATATACACTGAAAAAGGAAAAAATTATAAGGAATACTGGCAGTATGTTTTTGATAAGGCATGTGCATCAGTGAAATGTTAACTGTATAGCAAATAACCTTTCATAATCTGTATAGCAACCAGTATTTTTCTGATTTATAATACTTAAATAACTGACGCTGCGTTTATTTTATTTTTTGCCAGTTTAAAATGTTTGTGTTCTTATAGATGATTTTAACTGGTACATATTTTGAGTTAAGATGAATGTATTAAAGCAGCATCATATCAGTTTTGTTTATTCAATTTCTAAAATGTGCTGATCCTTTTAAAAACTCCTGCTTATCTCTACAACAAAGAAAAATATTCAAAAATACTGCCTTCATTTTCACACACAGTGCTGAAGATGCTGCAAGCACCAAATCATAGCTCATAAAATCAGGTCCTGAGATAGTTACCCATAAAGAGGAATCCTTTGAGTGTATGCCATTGGTGAGCCGATGAGCATGGACCATAGAAGGGCTCAATGTAGAAGGTAAAATTGGCAAATCATAATTGAGAAATATGAAATGTATTCCCATACATAATATGGTATAGGGTGTAATGTACCTGCTTTTGATCACTTTTCATTTTAAAGTGCTATTCGCTTGATCTTAAATGTTCCATGAACTGTTAAATTTTGTAAGTTATATAGTTACTGCACCACATTTATGTGTGTGTATGTATTATTTTAATAGTCAATGATAGGTATGTTAAGACTGATAATACAAAGGAGCTCTTTGAACCTTAAGAGCCTGTCAAGTTTTGGTTAGTTGTAGTTTGCATTTTTATAAAATATAGATGAATGCTAATAGATAATTGGGGCATTGTTTCTATATCAAGAGTTTTTTTTATTCATTACCATAAGCCTTCACTGATACTGCATTTTTTTAAATGGCGCTAATCTTAACCTTGAAATAAATGGAAAGCGGAAAAGGTGAGCCAGTTGACTTGAATGCAATGGATGTTAGGAGTGGTAGAAACAATGTTTAGATTGAAATTGAACTGATTTATTTTATTTAGCACTTAAAAACTTGACAATGTGTTTCATTTTTTAAAGATATTTTAGTGTGGTGTTATGTAGAATTCTTATGGTTTGATGTTTCTTTTAGAAATGAAAAGTATACTTTTATTTTTAACTAATGAAAATGGTTTTAATACTAAAACTAGTGATTTGATACTAGTTGTTTATAAACATTATAAAATATTTCCTTAGACAAATACCTTGGTAGTTAATTCATAAGGGTGGGTTTGGGTAGGAGTAGCAGAGTACCTTAAGAGGGAAATAGGAATATATGCAGAAGTGATAACATTTGTTTTGAATACTCTGCCAGGAGAACCAGCTCTATCTGCAAACATCTGTTGTCTAGAATAAGGATGTAGAAATGATCAATGAGGATGTCTTTTTATTTTCTGAAAATTCTGCCTCATTTTAAAATGTATTTTAACAATACTAAAGATAATTTTGACTCTGAAAATAACATTTTTTGTTTAGTCACTTGAGTTTTCTTGCCACAGTATAAATTAGGGATTTTTTTTAAATTGGTGCTTTTAAGAAGCAAATCCCAAGGTTTTATTTTCTTCGATGATAGCCCTATAGAAACTCTTAAATGTATTTGCGCATATATATATATATTTTTTCTTATGCATGCTCGATGCATTTTCGTCCTGAGAAAAGTGTTCTCTACAGAAACTACCCGTGTGTAAAAAGAAGATTGGCTTAAAATGGCTACTGTGATGGGAACAGTGTCTTAGGGAGATGCAGCTTGGACTTGAGGTAAATTGAATACTTTACAAACTGTGGTTTAGAGTTTGCTTTAATGACATTGTATGTAAAAGGGCACATGATTGCTGTAATTTTGTATTGATTATGGTTTCCTCAATAAAAAAATAAATGTACATTGATCAATATTATAAAGGAGTGTTTTTCTTTTCTAAAATATTGACTTTATTTTTTAATACAGAAGTTACTTTATTGAGTTTACATTGTAAAATAAAATTGTCTTCCAGAAAACTAAAATATAAAACAACTTGGTACTAGAACATGGTAATTATTTACAAACTTGAAGACCAGATTTTAAAATTGAAGATTGTGCCATTTTTTTTCATAGATCTTAAAATCGTTCATTATGTTAAAAGTGTTTTCTCCTGCATAAACTACTGATACAAAGTTTTCTCACTAAAAGATAATTTGTTCAGGCAAGGTCACAACATAAATTTGCTTTATAAGCTTGAATATGTATTACACACATTTGAAAAGTACATGTTAATATTCTTAACATTCAGAACTCTGTAGGCAGTGGTTTCCATTAAATTTTCTCTGGCAATTGTTTTTAAAGTCCTCCTTTTGTTCTCCATGCTCCCCCTTTCCCTTGAAAGGAATGGCACCCCTTCCCCCTCTCTGCTTCAGGAAGACTTTGAAACTACAAGGAAAATGATGTATTAAGGAAAACTCAAATTGATAGGTTCCAAATTCATTAAGTCTTGACTATCTTGGACTAATTTTAGGTGAAAATAGCTCATAAATGACATTCTTTCATGCAAAATAATGTATTTTAATAATTGAGTAAATTTTCCACTTTACCCCATTAGATACACCTTAACTTCTGCGTAATATGGCGATGAATCTGGTGATCATTTGGAAAGGAAGAAGTTATTCCTTAGATGAGCTTGTGTTTTGAAGACTATTATGAAAAGGAATAAAAAGTCAACATAGTGGCACTTCTGGTTTCCATTTTGGCCCCGCCACAGAAAACATGGGTGTAGTAAGAAAGTCGGGGGTGGGGGGGAGAAAGTTCCAGGGAGAGGGAAGGGGAGCTAGTAGTCGTCAGCTAAAAAAGAGAAGAAGAAAAGTGATTTTTTTTTTTTAAGGAAAAAAATTTAAATAGAATAAAAGTTCTAGATTAAGTGATTAATTCTTACTTTCAATTGTAAGAATACAGGTACTAGCTGCAGAGCCTTTGTTGTTGACTGCTTTACACATATACTCTCCTTCATCTTCTGGGAAAGTTTCTGGTAAATAAAGACAGTAAGTTTCTCCTCTTTCAATATATTGGTAGTCTTCTCCATCCTGCAGTATTTCTCCTTCAAACCACCATGTAATTTCCGGTTTGGGTTCTCCTGTTACTTTAACAGTAAATCTAACTGGCTCACTGTCTACAACCGATGTGTTTTTTAGAGGCTTCTTGAACCACGGAGCTCCTGATCTCGTTTGCTCCTCATCTTCAACAGTGGAGCCATTCATGATGCTACCACCCTCTTCTTCCTCCTCCTCTTCTCTTTTCTATATTAAATATAAGCACATTCAAGTTGGCATTTAAAGTAGCATTTTCAGGACAACGGTTTAGCAATAAAATTTCATGAGTGAATGGGTTTTTGCTTCCCAAAGAACATGTAAATATGCCTAGTACAATGTGTACTTTATAGAACATTACACTGACCTGAAAGCTATTAAAAATTATTTTTAATCCCTCAATATTTTAAGAGCATATTTGAAAAATAGAGTATGTAAGCCTGCTACCTTTTGTAGTGCCGCATCAATTTCCTTTTGTTCAAACTGCATCCGTAGTAACTTTTGCTCTTCAATTCTTCTTTGTTCTTCTTCTTCTCTTGCCTTAGCCATTTGTTCAAATCTAGCTTTCATGTTCACTTTATGAGTAAATGGGGCCTCACTTTTTTTTGCAGGCTTGACATCAACATCTTCTTCCTTTATGAAAATGGGCCAAGAATAAGAATTGCTTGTTTTCTAAAAACCAACAAGAACTAAAGCATTAATAGTTATGTTGTTATTTATAGGCACAAAATAATGACTCATGTTTGGTTTACATATTTGTGCTATACTCAGATGTGGAGATTTTCACTATCCCCTAATTTGTGAAAAATGAAAGTTTTATTTGAATAACAGTCTCCTGACAATTAGAACCCTTTTCTTCCACTGTAAAGGCTTTACAATATCACTGGAGTCCCAGTGTATTTATTTGCTTAACCAACTCTGTGCTGGCTGATAGTACTAAATAACAGAAAAGGATGGGGATGTTACACATTTTAAAACTATTAAAATACTCCCTTGTCACAAGATTGTCCATCACTCTACACCCTCCTATGTAATATAGAAAAAATGCAATTTCTGTTACTTCCCACTTCATGATTTCCTTCCTCACCCTTCTTCACTAATAACTGTCTTGAGATGAATTTCATCCAACAAAATATATTGATGGTCAAATGGCAGATGAGTGTTTGCAGGTAGAATAAGTGGAAAGACAACTGCAGGAGGCAGTGGCTGGAAGTTGGGGAAATCACTGAGTTGAAGTAGGGGGTTAGTCATCTATTTAGGGTAAGAGCTGGAAACCATGGAAATAAGCGATAATCTAAGTGCAGAGTTTAAACTATTAAAACAGCGTTTGAGTCTGTAAAACAGTGATAATGAGGTCACTGGTGGCTTTTGAGGGAGGTTTTAGTAGAGTGGGGTTGTAGGTACAGTTAATTCAGGGTTTCTAAAGTACCTTAGCTATAATTTCTAAACTACTTAGACTTTTAATGGATCTGTCTGGAAATCTCACCATTTATATTTCACAGTACTAAGAAATTGCTTCAGGATACCACATCCAACTGAAGGAAATTCTGAAACAAGCTCTAAAATAATTGCCTATATAAGAAAAATAGGTGCATGGATGTGTTTTGCATCAGTTTCTTCATTCTGTCTTCTAACAGTCTCTGAAGGCCTGCCCAACTTCCCACACCTGCTCTATTGATTATTTGATGAAAATTCATTGCTAGAAGAACAAGTTAAATGCTGTTAAGTATTATAAAATGGCAATTCTGGCAGAAAAAATTCTCCAGATCATATTTAAAGCAATATTCATAACCATGGAACTAGACCTTAGGTTGGAAGGAACATTATGGGTCATCTAGTAATTGCCTTTTTAATATTTGGAGGTACTTCAAATTCATGTCCTCTGAATTCTAATTTAGGCTCTGTCACTGAATTATTGGCATGACTTTGAGCAGATCATTAAGCTTTACTGGCATCATCCTTAAAGTAAGTATGAATAATCTCTGGAGTTTATTTTAACCCATATGTAGACTGGTTCTAATTATTCAAACTAAAATTTGTGCCATAAATACATTTTTTTAAAGATTTTATTGTCAACACAAGCAGGGGGAGCAGCAGGGAGAGAGAGAGAGAAACAGGCTCCCCCTTGAGCAGGAAGCCTGATGTGGGACTCAATCCCAGGACCCTGGTATCATGACCTGAGCTTAAGGCAGATGCTTAACCAACTGAGCCACCCAGGCGTCCTGTGCCATAAATATTTTTAAAGTATTTTTTCCAGAGTGATGTTCACTATAGGCTATTTAATTCTAATAAAAGCCATTTTTGAAACAATGCTAGACTGAGGCAACCTTTCAAAGTCTCTTAAGATCTTAATGTGCTTTTGCTATTTAGTTCCTGGATTATTATATATATCTATGGTTAATTGTAAGTACCAAAACTTACTTCAAAGTCAATGTTACATTTCTAAATTCATCATAATTACTATACCGTAACTGTTAAATACAGTGTACCTCATGAAAGTTTTCTGCTTCTCGCTCTTTAATTTCGAGGTCAATTGCTCTCCTTCTTGCTCGTTCTTCTTCTATTTTTTTCTGTATTTCTTTTTCAGACAATTGTCCAATCTTTTCAAACTTGCTTTTTAGATTTTTGGCTTGAATAGAGCCACTTCTTTTCAATTTGATTAATTCTTCATATTCCCTACTCAATTCGAAGGTTTCATGTTCTTCCTCTTCCTTAAAAAATATATTTTTATATATTAAATACCAGAAAATCAGTTTGTACAATAAACCATCCAAAAGGTGTTCATTTCTTACTTGAAGCCAAAAATAAAGCTTAAATAACCTGTTCCCTAAATACGCCTAAATTTACTGATTAAAAGTAATGCTACAAATTTAAGACTTTAGATAACATTTAAAATATTTCATTATGGGATATGGCTCAAAACTTCATTTAATATTTTGTTATAACGTCCTAAAACTAAAATATGCATATCAAGATTATGGGGCGCCTGGGTGGCTCAGTCGTTAAGTGTTTGTCTTCGGCTCAGGTCATGATCCCAGGGTCCTGGGACTGAGCCCCGCACCAGGCTCCCTGCTCCGCAGAAGCCTGCTTCTCCCTCTCCCGCTCCTGCTCCCCCTCCCCCTGCTTGTGTTCCCTCTCGCTGTGTCTCTGTCAAATGAAATCTTTATACTAGGAACCATAGGAAAATCCATGTTCAGGGGAAGATGAAGAAATGTAAGAACAGTGGGCTGGGAGTCAGATATAAGTTCTAGTTCTGACTGATACCATGTGGCCTTTTGCCTTGTCACTTAGCCCACTGGACATGATTTTTTAATCTCTATATAGAGCCAGAGTATCCTAAAGTTCCTCCTTTGTTTTGATGATAGTCAAATAAATACCACTTTTCCCCCCCCAAGATTTTATTTATTTGACAGAGACACAGCAAGTGAGGGAACACAAGCAGGGGGAGTGGGAGAGGGAGAAGCAGGCTTCCCGCGGAGCAGCAAGCCATATGCGGGGCTCGATCCCAGGACCCTGAGATCATGACCTGAGCCGAAGGCAGATGCCCAACGACTGAGCCACCCAGGCACCCCTAATAAATATCACTTTTAATACTCAAGTTAACTGAATGAACTCTCTACAGTACAGCCTGGCAAAATCCCTACATTTGATACATATCACTTCTAGTCTCAATTTTATATTCTGCCAAGAAAAAGGAGTCTACCAAAATTGGGCTCCAATTCTTTAAACCATTTTATCTTAAATACTTTTTATTCTGGTTTCCCTTGGCTTTTCACAGTTTATTACTAGTTCTTTCTATACTTCTTACGCTAAACCCTAATCTCACTATATGAAATGTTAAAAAAAAAACGCAGTTATTCCTGGTATACTTTTCCTGGAGAAGACAGAATTCTAGGGGTGGGGAGGGGTTAGTAGGGAAGGGGAATGAAGGTGTGGAGGGGTGGGGTCACAGTGGATGATACGACATGAGGGTTAATTTCTTGGTTCAACCAAAGGGGAAAAAAAGAGAACTTACTTATACTACCTTCACTTTTTAGTCTATGTGGGTGAAAACAGACAACTCCTAAAATACCAGAAACCTAACAAATTTGTTATGTACCTCCTATCATTGGTTCCCAAAACATTCTGGTCAAAATTAATGATTCAACTAATATAATTTACAAGTTTTTCTAGGCAATTCATTTTCGTCATCCTTTATAAAATAAATTTTTCTTTTAAAGATTTTACTTTAATTAGAGACACAGCGAGAGAAGGAACACAAGCAGGGGAAGTGGGAGAGGGAGAAGCAGGCTTCCCGCCTAGGAGGGAGTCCAATGTGGGGCTTGATCCCAGAACCCTGGGATCATGACCCGAGCCCAAGGCAGACACTTAACAACTGAGCCACCCAGGTGCCCCGCTATTACATTTTTAAAATAAGGCTAGACCTTGGAATATTTTCCTACAGCATATTCATGGTATTATTACCTATATATTTATATAGTATTTATAGTCTCTTGATTGGGGCAAGGAAGTAAATATCCCCACAGGTCCATTGCCCCAACCCATGACAAAAGAGGCAACTTCTAAGAGATTGCAACCTCTGCATAGGATCCCATTCGGTGCCTAGATCAGGAGTTGGCAAAAGGTCCCCACCAAGTTGCCTGCCAAACACGCCACATCACTGCCAGTTAGAGCCTGGGACAACCACTGCTTGTTTCACCCCAAGTCACCGGGCTGTGTGCTGATCCCTGACCCTGTTCATGTTGCTGCCAAGAGCTACCCCCATCAGAGGCCAAGGGTGACAGTGGAATGCTGGCCCCCTTTTTCTATCTCCCCTCTTCTGCCTACACAACTGGCCGTCCAGATGGAGGGTGGCAGCTGTGGGAAGGAACCGTTTAGAAAGGGCCTTGGGGGGGAGGGGCGCCTGGGTGGCTCAGTTGGTTAAACCGCTGCCTTCAGCTCAGGTCATGATCCTGGGGTCCTGGGATCGAGCCCCACATCGGGCTCCCTGCTCATGCAGGAAAACCTGCTTCTCCCTCTGCCTGCCGCTACTCCTGCTTGTGCTCTCTCCCTCTCTCTCTCTCTCTTTCTCTCTCTCTCTCTCTCGCTCTGTGTGTCAAATAAATAAATAAAATCTTTAAAAAAAAAAAAAAGAAAGGGCCTTGGGGCATCAGGAGATAGGAAAAGAGCTGAGAATGCACCATAGAGAGGCAGGGGACAGCAGGAGATTTGAGCCACGGCTCAAAGTCGAGCACACGCTCCATTGTCCAGCTTTCACTTAAAACACACAAATTCAAAGATAAGATTACGGTGCTAATTAAATTTTAAGTTTTAAATTTTACTTTTTTATTTTTTAAAGATTTTATTTATTTATTTGAGAGAGAGAGAATGAGAGATAGCATGAGAGGGAAGAGGGTCAGAGGGAGAAGCAGACTCCCCGCCGAGCAAGGAGCCCGATGTGGGACCCAATCCCGGGACTCCAGGATCATGACCTGAGCCGAAGGCAGTCGCTCAACCAACTGAGCCAATTTTTAAATTAAAAATCAAGATGACAACCTTAGAACATTAAACCTTATGCACAGCCTGTCTAAGCACAGGGTCCTGTGAGGGCCGAGGCTGCATGCCCATGAAGCTGACCCTGTACAGTCTATATTTATGTAGATTTATTTATTTATTTATTTATTTATTTATTTATTTATTTAATTCACTTCAATACTAGAGAAATCATACTGAAATATTTATCATGAGAGTTCTAATTCAGTAAAATAAAATGATTCAAAGACTTGCCAAACTGATGTTCCTATTGGTATCCATGGTACTCTTGTAATTTTATTTTGACTAATCAGTTTGTTTATTTCAAGGAAAATAAATATAAAAAATGGGCATAGTAAGCACTTTAGGAAACAATTCTCCATCATAATGTAACCACGTAATTGTGAGGTATATAGGAAGAAATACTTACTTAAGGTACTATAGTAGTATGTTAGTCACTTGCAATCATATATGTTTTAACCTAGTAAGAAAGAAGCAGTTATAGCAGGCTAGAAAGTGCTCGTAACTATGCCAAAACTTGTACCAAGTGCCTCATAGTATGCTGAGTGTCCTTTATGTGAATAATAATACTTGAAGAGTTATTGTAAGATACTACATGTAAAATACTTATATTAATAAATATTTGAAGAATATAAATGGTATTTCTTAAAATCTCACCTCTCCCATTTCTTGTCTCAGTTGTTCAAATTCCTGTTTTTCCATCTCTAGTTTATGCTTCCTTTCCTCCTCTGTTCGTCGTTTTTCTTCTTCCATTTTTTGTTTTAGTAATTCTTCAAAATTAATTTCCAGTTTTCCCGGTGTAAGAGATTCTTGAGAAATTGTTTTATACATCTCTGGGAAGTCATCATCTACTACCTATTTAAAATAATTCTTTCATTACTTTTGCCAAAATTACACAAACTAAAAAGGAAATTTTTTTTGTAGAAACTGATCACTTGAATAGAAAGGTTTCACACTGAACTAAAAATTTGGAGACCTAAATCTCTTCAAAAGTATAAAACAATAAACAAGGGAGAAATTACTAGAAAATATAAGACTAAGGTATTTTGTGGTTACAGAGGAAATGGTGACCGTTTTCTGCTCCAGTGAACACAAATCCTTTGAATTTGTATTATGAGTAATTTGAATTAGATATTAAGATTTTCTCATACTGAGAACACTTTGAATTAAAATGAATTTCCATTCTGCTAATTAAAATAGAGCATTTCCATTAAATCATGGTTTGAATGAATGAATTAGATAACCCATGATTCTTTCATAATCAGGTAAAAATCATTCTTAATGCTGTAATTTTTTGTACTAATTTATTTACTGTCCGGTTAATTAAATAATAGTTAATACTTAGAGCTGCCATGTAAATTCTAAGCACTTTACATTGATTTATTTAATCCTGTAATCCTATGAAGTAGATATTATTAATATCCTCCATTATAGATGAGAAACTCAGGCACTAACTTTTCCAGAGTCAACACAAATATTAAGTGGCAAAGGTGGGATTCAAACCTTCAAAAACCTAATAAAGTTATAAATAATGATTTAGACTATCTTTTTGTAATTTCATGAATTACATGTCTAACTGCCATTAAGTTGTGACCTTGGGCAAGTTACCCAGCCTCTGTGAGTTTCCCTATCTGTAACGACTTTTCATATAGTTGTCATGACAAAGTTTGGAAACGTTTACAGTGTGTCTGATACCCAATAGTAAGCTCCCAATGGCAGTTTTTTTTTTTTTTTAAAGATTTTATTTATTTGTCAGAGAGCATGAGCAGGGAGGAGGGGCAGAGGCAGAGGGAGAAACAGGCTCTCCACTGAACAGGGAGCCCCATGTGGGACTTGATCCCAGTACTCTGGGATCATGACCCGAGCTGAGCCAAAGGCAGTAGCTTAACCAACAAACTGGGCCACCCAGGAGTCCCCCAATGGCAGTTTTATTATTATATTATCATTCCCTATAATAAAGGCAATCCCTAAATTGCAAATAGAAACTTCGCTTTTAAATCACTGACTTGGAATACATTTTACCATGAAAAGCAATTACCTAATTCTGTTTTTCTATCCCCTGAGAGTAGAAAATAAACATCTGGCCTGAATTAAGACCCTGTGGCTAAAGAAGACATAGGGTAATAAGAAGGCAAAGGGTAATTATTAGTTTTATATATGACAGGCTTTACCAAAGAATAAACTCAACTCAGAAACAGTTTACATGGTCTTACAATCCAAAGATTGCCAAAAATTTTTATTAATATATGAGCTAACTGAGCTGTAATACAAAGTTAAAATATGGCCCTGGATAAAAAAAAACAACATAAATGAAGGAAAAAGTTTCTCTTTCCTGATACAGAAATATCTCTAGGAAACTAGAGTTTTGGATTAATGCAGTTTTCCTTCCCTACACTTTTTCTACTAGTGAATCATGGCAGTTTCAGCCTAAAAATCTCCCCCTAGGATTAGATCTCCTGATCTTCACAGCTACTTCTTGTCTATCACTTCTGAACCTGCTTATTCTCCAAAAATTAAGTGCCTTCACAATGTTTATGGGCTTTCTGTGTAGAAATCATTTGTGAATCAAGGATTACCTAGTTTTACACACAAGATCGTTTTAAGGGGCACCTGGCTGGCTCAGTCAGTAGAGATGCAATTCTTGATCATGGGGTTGTCAGTTCAAGCCCTATGTCAGGGGTAGCGTTTACTGAGCAAGTAAATAAGAATTATTTTTTAAAAAGATAGTTTTAATATACTCCACAAACATTTATAGGAAATTTGTTATGCTAGAATGCTTTCTGCCATGTGCCAGATGAACAGTCTCAGCCTCATGAGTGAGAACGATAGCTGTAAGCAACAATACATTAGTGCTACACCAGGGGAGTACAAAATCCACAAGAATGCACAGAAAGAACACGTCTTTGGAACTTGTGTCCTCAGGAAAGGCTTCCCAGAGGAAATGGAAAATATGAATAGGAGACAGCAGAGCATGGGGAAAGGAAAGAGGGGCATGTTTCATTCAGCATTTATGAAGGTCCAGAGATGGATGAGAGCACAGTATTTTGAAGAAATTGGGAGAAATTTAGTATGTCCAGAACAAAGATGGCAGATTAAGAATAAAGAAATGAAACTGGAAAAATATACTAGGACAATATTATAAAGAAATTTCTTTAAAAAATTTTTAGATTTAAAAAATTTTTAGATTTTTGCTTAAGGGAAGTGGAAAATTCTTAAGCAAAATAGTAACACAAATTTACCTGAAAGAAAGAGGAGAGAGCGAGAAAGATCACTCTTGTCTTTACAAAGAAGAATGGATTATAGACAAGAAAGCAAATTAAATAGGAGATGGTTTAAGGCTAGAGATAACTGTGACCTGGGAGGAGATAGGTGACCCAAGGAAGGGATAACAATGGCAGTGGAAATGAGGGAAAACCTGATCGATTTTTAGAGTGATTTAGAAGGTAGAATGAATGAGACTTAGTGAATGAGTGGATGTGAGGCATGAATGAGAAGGTGGAAGTCTTTAAGACTCCCAACTTTTTGATTTGACCATCTGGATGGGTAATGAAGCCAAATAAACACGTGGATATATGTGCCTGAAGCTCCCCCAGACAGAGGAAGAAAACTAGGTCATGATATCACTGAAGCCAATTAAAATGTTTCAAGAAGAGGGGGAGCACCTGGATGGCTCAATCGGTAGAGCCTGCAACTCTTGATCTTCGGGTTCTAAGTTCAAGCCCCATGTTGGGCGTAGAACATACTTTTTATGTTTCAAGAAGGAGATGGAGCATTTATAGGTCAACTTACTTGAAAATAGTTTGTGAGATAACTGTACATTTTACAAACATTAAAAAGTGGTATAGGGGGTGTAACTTTGTGATGGAATTAAGTTTGGTAACAATATCCAGAAGTGATGGGTAAGCATTTTGGAGAATTAAATAATTGTGATTAAATGGCTTTGGTCATTTAATATGTACTGGATGGGATGGAAGGTGAAATGAAAGAAGGAAAGAAAGGAAGGAGGGAGGGAAGAAGTGAAGGAGGAAATGTGGGAAGGGAAAGAAGAATGGAGAGAATGGAAGAAAAGGTAGAGTAGGAAAATCTCTGCTTAGATACTTCTGGAAAACATGCCTTCCCAGAGAAGGAAGATAATATTCAATCCTTTAAGCCAGGCATAGCAACTTAATCAGAACCTTCTCAACATTACACTGAAGCAAACACCTTTAACTGATAGGTGTTAATGCCATAGGAGACTTTAAAGCTTATTTGCTATCCCTACTTTTGACAGATTCCAGAAATAATAATATCTAAAGTTTAATTATTTTTCTTAACATACTCTACTTTTTTAATTAAAAAAAATTAAGGTTTATTTGAGAGACAGTGAGTGTGTATCTGAGTACAGGGGGAAGGAGCAGAGGGAGAGAGTCTCAAACACTGTGTGCTGAGCATGGAGCCCGAGAGAGGCTCAATTTCAAGACCCTGAGATCACAACCTGAGCCAAAACCAACAGTTGAATGCTTAATTGACTGCACCACCCAGGCACCCCAAATTTAAAAAATTTTTAAAGTAATCGCTATACCCAACATGGGGCTCAAACTCACAACCCCAAGACTTGCATACAATACTGACTGAACCAGTCAGGCACCCCCTCTTAACATACTCTTAAAAAAGCTGAATCCTAATGGCATTCTCCAGTTATATTCTATCTTACCATGCTTCTCCTTGCTTCAGCAAATGCTTTCTTTTCTTCCTCTATTCTCCTCCTGGCTTCTTCTTCTGCCTTCCTTTTTTCATCTTCTCTCCTTTGTCTTTCTATTTCTTCAAAACTGAGTTTGAGTTTACCAGGGCGGTACCCTTTTAAAATTTTTTCTGTGTCTTGGTTTTCCTCCTCTTCATTTACCTAACCAAGAAACAACTCATTACTAAGAACCGAGATTCATCAAGGGCAGGAATGAATTATCAATCAAAAGGCACAGAATTGGCCACCTCACACACAAATATTTTCTTGCCCTTAATATATTTGACCAAATTTCCCTTCCTTTATAATTTCTTATCTGATAAAGTATTCAAATTTAGAGAAATTCCAAATAAAGATGTACTCAAGTTAAATAACAGTTCCCATAAAAGTCAAATTTTTAAATAGATAAATTGAGTGTTTGAAAGAATTTAAGGGGTCATTTAAGAGTTCTAATAAATATTAACTCTTCCAGAACAAAACATAAAATGCATGTGTGTGTGTACTTACTATGCTTCAAGTATATCTATAGAGTCTCTTTTGTAGTAAAAGTTCTCATTTTGTAATTTTCATGGATATTTTACTATGAACTATGGTACTTTTCCTTATACTAATCAGATAAAAGATTACCTGGAACTATGTTTTATAAAATTCAAATTTTATTATTTTATAATTAAAATTATAATTAAATATTTATTGAAATTTATGATTTGATTGATATTTCTATTTTCACGAAATTGATCACCACTGGTAGCTAAAGTATGTACATATTCTGCAATTATAATTACCCAGAAGTAATAACATTTTCAAACAAATGTCTAAAGAATTTAACTTTTGTAGATACAGTCCTTAGGACATCATTAATGAAAGTTGATCAAGAAATTCTGACACTTTTTAAAAATTATAGATATTCCATTAAAATTCAAAAAATTTATAATGAGATTTGGAATCAGTATTTTCTTATTTCAATTTTATTTTTTATTGATATAGTTATTAATAATAGTTATTTTACAGCACCTGTTATATGCCAGACATTACTTTAAATGCTTTCTGTATTAACTCACATACAATTTAAGAAGTAGACACAATTATTTTCACCTTTTTACAAATAAGGAAACTAAGACATAGAGGGGTTAAATAACTTGTCCCTGGTTATACACTAAATAAACAAGAGATATGTGAATCCAGGCAGTGTGGTTCCAGAAACCATGCTCTTAACCACTACACTCCATACCTCTAGACACACACACACACACACACACACACACACACACACACACACACATCTACATACCTTATATGACAAACTGCATATTCCATAGTAAATTTATTTTGATAAGTTCAAATATTTGAAAAACTGGACTAAAACTAAGTGTACACTTATGATTAGACTTGAAAGTGTGCATGTGCTGTACCCTGTCATTAAAAACACTGCAGGCTGAATTAACAGATAAAGAGAAACCAGGTTCATTGACTTATTTTACATATTTATAATTTATAACATAAAAATAAAAATTTAAAGCATATTAGGTAAAATGTCCCGTCATAAAGGGAAACTAGAAAGTAATACAGATGCATTTTATATAGGAAATATGTACAGTTTCAAAATCAGACCCTTTTATATAGACAATCTCCTTGAATTTATAGGAATGAATTTTATTTAAAGCCAGCTTCCTTCCCTAATATTAAATTTTTTATATATAACATTTATATGACATGTATAAAATATCATTTGTAGGTTATATATCATTACATATTATATATAATATCATTATATATAAATACATATAGGGGCATCTGCTGGCTCACTTGGTAGAGCGTGCAACTCTTGGTTCGAGCCCCATGTTGAGTGTAGAGATTACTTTTTAAAAATATATATATTTTAAAATATGTTTTATATATATATTTATTTTACCATTTGCCGCCTTGCTTCTTCAAAAGCACGCTTCTCTTCTTCTAAACGTTGTCTTGCTTCCTCTTCAGCTTGCCTCCTTCGGTTTTCTTGTCTTTGTCTTTCCAATTCTTCAAAAGTTAGTTTCAGTTTTCCAGGAGAAAGGGACTCTTTTTTTGCCTCACTTTCTAGTTCATCATCCTAAGAAACATTGTGCAAACACATCTGTTAATCATAAAAGGAAATGCTGGTAACTTAACTGCTTTGATTTGTACCTAAAAAAAATAAAAATAAAAATTACCATGACCAATGAAAGACACTTTGCTTCCTTGAGAGATCGCCGTTGTTCTTCATATCTTATTCTTTTATCTTCTTCATATTTGACCCTTTCTTTTTCTTCTCGTTCTTTCTCTAGATCCTCAAAATTCTTCATCTTTCCAGAACTTTTGTGTGATTTGACAGGTACCACTGTTACAAGTAGTGAATCATCTCCTTCCTAATTTATAAAATAGAAAATTAGCATATTTCTTGCTAACCAAAATTTAGGTTTCATGGGATTTTGCCTCCATTATTGGTGAGTTTCATTACATTGCCATCAATTTATGAAGAACAAAAATTTATATATATTTTTTACAGATTTCTATTCAATAGTTCTTTCTCTGAATTCATTGTACATTGAGTTAATTTAAGTGAAATCCATTGTTGACAAGGTTCAAGGAGCATCTTCTTTCCTAGAAGGTGGTGTTAATACAGCTGTTTGGATAAAGCTGCATGACATCATCTGAATTTAGCTGTCCGTGCACTAGTTCTACAAAAGGTGATGTGCATGTGAGTGTACTCTAAATCAATTTGATGGTGGATAGATTCCGTTTAAACACACACAAAAAGTCTCTCCATAGGACTTTTTTCTCCATGCAAGTTTTTAACTACTTAATAAAACTATTATTTAGTGAGGAAAAACAAACAGTATTTCCAAGTTATTTATAAAACACTTATAGACCATACTCATCGGCATTTGGTCCTAGTAAAATATTCTTAAATTTGTTTTTCAAATTCATTTTAATTAATTCTATTAATCTACTGTTACCTCTGAACTTTTTTCCAAAAATATAGTAAGTTATAATATGTAACACATGTCCCTAAAATAAAACTGCTTCCAATTTATGTGCCTGTAGTTTTAGGCACACCATCAAATTGACTTATGCTTAACCTTCTCTGTTAGGTAAAAAGGAATTAGCTAAAATTTTTGTGGTTGTTGAACATTCCTTCATGGTACTAGATACTAGTATGTGATAAAACAAACTATCAAGAACTCTGAGGAAAGAGGAAGACAAATGATGGAAAAAACCCTTTTAAAAAAATGTTAGCTTTCAACAATCTCGACCATTAGTAACAGTTCAAGAAATACATAGTCTTGGCAGAGTATCTCAATCTGAGACTTGTGTCTCTAACCATTAAAGCAAAAACATACTTTTTTTTTCATACTTTTAAGACACTAAGCTAGAGTTTGAAAGTGCAAAAGTATGATCTTGCTTTGCAAAATACTTTTGTCCTTTTTGTTGTTGTTGCTATAATTATAATAAAAATAAAAATGCTTTTCATTTTTTAATTAAAAGATTATTTGTGAACCAGATAATTTTAGGTGATGTTTCATTAAAGGAAATGTCCATTTACCTCTGGTGCTGATTCAGTTCCCGTATTGTTTATGTCCTCAATCTATTGAATGAGAATTTCATATCATTACATTACACTGAATTTCTGCTTTCTGCTTTTAAATATACAACTGAAAAGTAATTTAGCTGTGACTTACAGTAAATTTTCAAATTTATAATTTTTGAAATATTTTTATGTTTCTCCAAATTGGCCTATTATGTCTAAGTGGAGATTAAACCTTATATTAGTTTTTGTATTTTGACATCAAAATCAATATCTAGGGAATATATTAAGAAAAAAATTAAAGCCTACCTTTGTAATTCTGGAATTTGAATAATGGACCAAATTCTTATGACCTGCTGTAAGCTTACAAGTAGCAATTATTAATTAATTAAATTAGCAATTTAAACTGATACAGAAACATTTCTCCATTCTCAGTCTCTGCCCCAGCCAAAGTAAAACCTATCAGTAGTAATCAAATAATCATGACTATATTTTGCAATATAAACATATGGCAAAAATATAACTGACACAGTAATACAGTGCAGTGCACTAACTTTCACATGGCTGGTTTAGAAGGGACAAGAATTCTGGTCGATATAATTGTTTACTCTCTATTTTGACCACATCTAGGAAAGAAAGGCCCTCATTCAATAGAAGGGGTCTCAACTTGGACATTATTCATAAGAAACACCATTAGGGTAGCTCGAGGGGCAGGCTAATGTATGTAACAAACAGAAATGAGAAAGAAGCTAGGCAATTTAAATAATGCAGTGTTTGAGATCTCAGGAAAAGTAAACATAAGCAGTGGGAAAATGGGAGAAGTTAGAAAGTAAACATTCATATTGTTCATTGTTTTAACGTGATTTTTAACATCAGTGAAAGAGTCTGGAAGTGGTTTGTTCCTTATGCAGTCTAAGGGAATTCTGTTGTACCTTGGCTCATAGGAGGAACTGGACTGGCTAAGTCCCTGTTCTTCATCATTTCACTTTCCTTTTCTATATTCTCTGTCACGGGAGAATTAATACATTTTATTAAGATACCAAATTTCTTGAAAAATAAATTCTGAATTTATTAAAAATAAATCTATTTTACATTTTAATAATTTTATTGTTTTGTTTAGAATGATTTCTTTTGCACAATTATATATTACACTGATTTGCTATGTAAGTGGTGAAGGTTTTATTGAATGATGTATTGTACTAAGAAAAATTTTAAGCCATAATAAAATAATTACAAAATTATTTCTTTTCAGGGGTACCTGCTGGTTCTGTTGGAAGAGCATGTAACATCTGATCTCAGGGTCATGAGTCCAAGCCCCACACTGGGTGTAGAGATTACTTTAAATAAATAAATAAACTTAAAAAAAAAAAGTATTTCCCTTCCAAAGAATGCTAACAATTCCTTGACAAATCACATTTGTCTCTCAATAAAAAGTTCTAGGAGATATAGTGAGAAGCCAGACATTGACAGTATAGGAAAGATAAATTCTAAATTTCTTAACTCCAAATTTCTTGTGCTCGCTTCGGCAGCACATATATTAACTCCAAATTTCTTTTACTTGCTACTAAAACCTTCTCAGATTTTTATTAGCTTATGATAAGATAATAAATTATATTATGGAGTGGCTTTTGTTTTGTTGTTGTATGCTTTCTTCTTTGCTCATTTTAAGCCACTGACATAATTTTATTTTCATTGGGTTTCCATAAACAAAGGAAAAGGTGAATTTGTCTGAGTGGCCATGGTGTCAGTATATTCACAGAGAACTGAGACATTCAGTTCTGTTATAGTGTTGGCTCTCAGAAGCTACCACTGAAAAGCTGCTTCCCAACTATTTCTTTTGATTATGAAAAGGAAATTCCTTTTACTCCTTCCCAGAGGAACTTCCTTTTGTCCCCTTTATTTTCAACATCCCAGTCCCCTACCAATAAATTCTTATTTTCTAAGTTGATAGATGTTAACCTCGCCTGTCAGAGTGTCCTCAAAGATAACCAGATTATCCTGAATTAAGATTCTCCCCCAAGTTTTATTGGTCCTTGATTCTAACAACCAGTATACAAAGTATACCCATTTTTAATTCATCATAAGATGATCTAGAATCTGGTAGTTATCCTCCTGAGTCAGGAATCCCTTCTCAAGCATTCTTGAATATGGACTTGTACATCAAATTAACGTTAAGACTTTATTTTTCTTAGTAAACTCCACCCCCAATGTGGGACTCGAACTGATGACTCCAAAATCAAGTCACATGCTCCACCAATTGAGCCACCCAGGCGCCCCAATATTAAGATTTTCTTTATTACCTACGTCATACTTCTTAAATTCAAAGATATATTCAATTTTATTAGACTTGAGCAGAAAATGTACTTAAATTTTAAAATTGGACTTTCCATATTTGTAAGATAAAATTACTATTAATAGTTTATTTTGCTCTACCTACATATTCTCAAATAATGTAATAAGCCAAAAGTTTCATTAACCAGGACTCTAAGGCACCCTGCCATGTAGTTTCTGGAGTTACTAAAGAAGAGTTTTTTGTTTTTTTTTTTCTTGATACCTTGTCTCCCTCTCTTAGTATCCCATGTCTTCATCATATTTAAACTCACCTCTTCAACACACACATAGTTTTTCTTTGAGAAATCACTGCCTATATATTCAGTTCTTGGGGTTGTAGTGGGTCTTAAAGTCTCATGAGTCTAGTTAGTGCTTTCTGAAAAAGTATATAAGACTCAAAATAAGTAGACTAACCCCATGCACATACCCACTATTTGTTGTCAAATCCTTATATTTTAATTATATATTTTAGTCTGATTTTATTACCCTATTTTATAATTTATATTAAAAAATGTAATTATATCTGCTAATATATTTTATATTTACAACATAAAATCTATAATATTTATTATATTTGTACCCCTGGGTGAAATTTCATTGCAAAATGAATTCTCCGGGGCACCTAGGTGGCTCAGTCGTTAAAAGTCTGCCTTCGGCTCAGGTCATGATCCCAGGATCCTAGGATCGAGCCCTGCATCGGGCTCCCTGCTCAGCCAGGAGCCTGCTTCTCCCTCTCCTGCTCGCCCTGTTTGTGTTCCCTCTCTAGCTGTCTCTCTCTGCGTGTCAAATAAATAAATAAAATCTTAAAAAAAAAATGAATTCTCATCTTGGACGACTGGAGATGGCAGAGATAAAGTACATGTCATCCTTTCTTTAGATAAAGAGGTACAAAGTGATAAAATATAAGAAATTCCAATTCTTTTCTATAATTCTTCTGGCATATGTCATAAGTGGCTATTTGTGCCACAGAAAGTAGTTATTTGCAAAATCTGGGTAAATAAATTTCTTTTACATTTAAGTATGGCATATGCTTTGCCTTGTCATTTTTATTTTCAGAAAGGTAGGAAACTGGAAGGAATGTAGCAAGTAGATTTATGGCACTTAAAAGAGTAGGCAAAAAAGAGCCAAGTACAATTTCACAATAAAAATGTTTTTATACTGTGAAGACTATGTTAATTTGTTAATGATGAGAGATGGAGGAGAAGCTAAAATGGTTTCATGACATTTCATCTATATGTACTAAATAAAATCTTTAAAAAATAAATAAAATATTTTATTTGACAGAGAGAGAGAGAGAGCACAAGCAGGGGGAGTGGCAGGCAGAGGGAGAAGCAGGCCTCCCCACAGAGCAGGAAGCCAGATGGGGGGCTCAATCCCAGCACCCCGGGATCATGACCCAAGCCAAAGGCAAGACACTTAACTGACTAAGCTACCTGAGCACCCCCAGATTCTTGGTATATTTTAAAAATGCTTACCAACCTCTTACTTCTCATGCTTTAAACTAAAATATATAGAAATTCTAAATCCATTAAAGAGACTATATAAAATCATAGTAATAATTTTTTCTCCCTTCTAATTTGTCCCCTGCAGCTATGGGCATCTATAATGGCTATCTGAAGCAAATAGCTGTCACATATTTCTCCCCTCTCCTACCACCAACTTAAAAAACAAAAAAAGCTGGGACACCTGGGTGGCTCAGATGGTTAAGCGTCTGCCTTCTGCTCAGGTCATGATCCCAGGGTCCTGGGATCGAGCCCCGCATCGGGCTCCCTGCTCTGCGGACAGCCTGCACCTCCCTCTGCCCTGCGGCTCTCCCATCTTAGACGCTCTCTCTCTCTCTGATAAATAAAATCTTAAAAAACAAAAAAGTTATTAAGCTAGCTGATAATAACATTATTAAATAAAATACTATTTGATTCAAATTCTTGAGTGGGAAGGTATCCTAATTATGCCTTAACGTGTAATAATAACCAATAAGTATTTATTGATTACTATTGAAAGACCAGCACATTGTGGATAGTTTATGTGAAACTGCCCTTACGTCTTTGTAAAAACCTCTAACGTGTCAGGAAAAACAAGAAATGTGGTCCATGGAAGGAATATGGACTGAATGACAAGATGGTACAGCATTCAACCTTAAAATAGGGACATTTTGCCCTTATCCTTTTGGCATTTGATAATAAATATTTGTACTTAAGATCTTGTTTTCAAGTTAGCTGCTATTTAAGAAGCTAACGTTATATTAAAATATTTTAATTAGGCAATGTACTAATTAGTTTTACTCTGTACAGTCAGTTTCTGAAGCAAATACCAATTTCATATTTAGTGTATACCTGCTCAGCCCTTTTTGCTAATTCACGTTGGATCTTCCTCTTCTCTAACATATCCTGCTCAATTCTGCGTCTTCGTTCCTCCTCCATTCTCTTTCTTTGTTCCTCTTGTCTTTGTTTCTCCATTTCAGCAAATCTACCTTTAACAGTTCCTAAGAACATATGAAACATGTTTGATATTTTGCTACGTTTCCCGTTTTGCAATTTCATTTACGATTTCCCTCTCAAGTTTCTTACCTGTTAGCTTTGGGACATAAGCCTTTTCTACTTTCGAAGATACCTCTTCCTCATCATCAGAAGCAAGCATTTCTTTAATCTAAATGGTTAAATAAATATGAATATGTCCAAAATTTAGACTAAATTATATTATATACCGAGTTTGAAATTAACTTATAAATACAGAAAATTATTTTATAGTTAATATAAAATATGGTTAATGTGAATAATAATGTGTAAATTAAAAAGATGAAAATGAATTTTGCACAAGAATAAAATAAAATAAAATAACCTCCTGCTTTCTCCTGTTCCATTCTCTCTCTCTAATATATTGTTCTCTTCTTCTTTGTTTTTCATCTCTAGATCTCCTTTGATTTCTTTCTTCCCTGGCTCTCTGCATGGCTTCAAACTTATCCTTTACATCACCCTTGCCAAGTTTTGGCACATAGGTTTTTGGGACAGGTTTAGATGAAGAAAGCAGAATCTTCGTTAGAAGAAAATAAAGAGAAGAAAGTTAAAAAAAAATAAGATAGGAAGAAATCAAGTAAAGATAGATCAGAATAAGCAATATAAGAAATACTTATTGAAACAAAATAGAAAACGAGTTTGAAACATTTGTACAATCATAATCTGATTATTTTCTAAAGTCTAAGTATGAAAAATGAAATTTAGAAAATATGAATAAAAACTTATAAAGAAGTTCCATTTTGTAGGTGTGTTCCCCTGAAACTGAAGGCTAGTAAAATATAAAAATTGAATACTGGATTCTAATTTAAAACAATATATTTTCCTACACCATTATTAAAAATTCAGATTTGACATCTCTTACTTAAAAGATACCAGGACTAATTTCAATAAATTAGGTGAAAGTGAAAACAAGGCAAAAGTTTAGGCTTTCAAGTTTAAAGCCTACTTCATATGTCAATGCTCTTGCTTGTTTCCCTATCAAATATGAATAAAACTGAAGGGCAGTCCTTTATTCCCATGTATGGCCGAGATGTGCCAGGGTCTTCACATACAAGCAGTGATTTAGAGGTTGACTACTACACAACCCATCTAAAACTTCTGTACACCAACATTAAAAATGTGTAAAAAGGCTGTATCATTCCAAGTAGGTTGACCTCTGAGATGGCAAAAGAGCTTCCCAGGAAAGGAGGAATCTAGTAAAAGACTGGAGGAAAGATTTCCCTCCACTGTAAAACCAGGAAAGCCAATTATTTTCATCGTTTCAAAAATTAAACTGATTGCTAAAAAATTTCAGTAAATAAAACGTCGGTGCCTCAGAACATCAAACCCTTTTCTCCTAGTGATAATGGCAAATTACTTATTAATCTGTGGCATACCCAGCCTCTATTTTATTATCATCTTATGGTGTCATTGGCCATTTAAGGTTTTTTTAAACTTCATAATTTTGGGGTGTCAGCAACTGAACTCTTCTTACTACAACTCCAAGTACAGCCAAGAGCCAGAAAAAGGCGAAGAGAAGTTTTGCTGCAGCTGCTGGAAGAAGTAGCTGAGAAGGAGCCTCACCTGAGAGTGAATTATTGCTTTCACCTAAAGATATACATCAAATCTGGTTTTTTAAATACTAAAAAAAATAACTTCTAAGACTTATCAAGGTATTAAAATTCTATTCAAGGTGCTAGCCATCACATCCACTTCACCATCACTCACAAATTTAATAATTATGCTGCCAAGATTAGAATCCAAATGAAAATACTGGGCCCAAGAACAGCCTGTGAATTTTAGCTTTTACATTTTCTATCCTGACACTAGGTCATTATGAACTATGACCTTTCCACCAAGTAGCTCTACCATTTCCGCAGCTCTATAGTCAATCCTACGTTTCCCCCATTTTTTTTTTTTTTAACGTTGGAGACTTACCTCAGCCTTTTGGGAAATATCATTCATGTTTGCTGTATGTGGTCTCAGGGTGATTTTGGAGTTTTGTATATTTTTGCACCTGAAAAAATAGATTAGTATTGAATAACAATTTTTAATGACTTAATTCTTAATATGCTATGTATTTTTGTAAACAGAAACAGCATGTTAATTGCTCCTCAAAAAATACTGACACAATCCAGGCCAGTAATAAACTGGAATAACCTTCAGTTCCTTTTCCCAAGATTCAGGGTATAGAAGGGACAAGGCACATGGTATTAAGAGATCCTTATAGGGGCATCTGGGTGGCTCAGTTGGTTGAGTGTCCAACTCTTGATTTCAGCTCAGGTCATGATCTCAGGATTGTGAGATCAAGTCCTGCAACGGGCTCCATGCTCAGCATAGAGTCTGCTTGAGTTTCTCTTTCTCTGCCCTTCCCCTTGCTCATGTACACACTCTCTCTCTCAAATAAATAAATCTTAAAAAAAAAAGATCCTTATAAATTTATGGTCCAGAATAGTGTGGTCAGTGTATCAAGAGCCCTTGCAAAGAATTATTCTGGAGTGCCTGGGTGGCTCAGTAGTTAAGCGTCTGCCTTTGGCTCAGGTCATAATCTCCAGGGTCCTGGTATCGAGCCACGCATCGGGCTCCCTGCTCAGCGGGAAGCCTGCTCCTCCCTCTCCCACTCCCCTTGCCTGTATTCCCTCTCTGGCTGTGTCTCTCTGTCAAATAAATAAATAAAATCTTTTTTAAAAAAAAAAAAAGAATTTTTATTCTGCTGTTACTGGGTATATTATTCTATAAATATCAACTAGCTCAAGGTAGTTGATGGTGTTATTTAGATCTGTGTCTACTAATTTGTGTGTGTGTGTGTGTGTGTGTGTGTGTGTGTGTGTGTGTGTGTGTGGCGCCTAGCTCTTCTAAGTCTTCAACTATGTGGAATTGGCTATTTCTTCCTTTAATTCTGTTATTTTTTTCACGTAATTTCAAGCTCTTTTAAGTGCATGTGCATTATGATATCTTCTTTTTGAAATGACTCCCTCATCAGTATGAAATTTCCTTTTGATCTCATTGTCTTGAACTTATCTGATATTAAAATAGCCACACCAACTTTCTTTAGTCTGCATGATGTATATAATTTTCTAGGCATTTACTTTATATTTGTCCATATAATTGGACCTTGCTTTTTTGAAAAATCAATTCTGATATCTTTTAATTGCAGCATTTATTCCATTAACATTTAATGTATTTATATGAACAGACTTAAGCCTACCATTTTACTATTCTTGTTTGCCTTTTTCTTCCTCTATTACTCTTTCCCTACCTACTTCTGAATTGAGTAATTTTCAGAATTTTATCCATTGGCTTAAAAAATTTTAACAGCTTTACTAATTGACATACAATTAACTACACTTTTAAAAGTGCACAATTTGGGGCACCTGGGTGGCTCAGATGGTTAAGCATCTGCCTTCGGCTTGGGTCATGATCCCCAGGTCCTGGGATCAAGCCCCATGTCTGGCTCCTGATTTGGCGGGGAGCCTGCTTCTCCTTTGCCTTCTGCCTCTCCCCTGCTCATGCTCTTGCTCTAGCTCTCTGTCTCAAATGAATAAAATCTCTAAAAATAAATAAATAATGCACAATTTTATAAGTTGACATATGTATGTCCCTGTGACACCATCACCACAATCAAGAGAATATATGCATTACCCACAAAGTTTTTCTCAGACCCCTTAACTCCATTTCTTGCTTTTCTCACCCCCATCCTCAGGCAGGTACACTTTTGGTCACTGCAGATTAAATTTTCTATAAATGGAATCAGATTGTATGTACTCTTTTGTCAGGCTTCTTTACCCAGCATAATTATTTTTGAGATTCATCCATGTTGTTACATGTATCAATAGTTCATTCCTTTTTAGTACTGAATATTATTCCATTGTATGAATATACTACAATTTGTTAACCATTCATCTGTTGATGGATATTTGGGTTGTTTACAGTTACTATTACACATAAAGTTACTATGAATATTCATGTACAAGTCTTTTTTTATGCTTTTTTATTTCTCAAGTAAGTAAAGTATAATGGCTAGGCCTTATGGTAGATGTATAACTTCTTTCTTTTAAGATTTTATTTATTTGACAGAAAGAGAGACAGCGAGAGAGGGAACACAAGCAAGGGGAGAGCGAGAGGGAGAAGCAGGCTTCCCGCTGAGCAGGGAGCCCGATGCGGGGCTTGATCCAGGACCCTGAGATCATGACCTGAGCCAAAATCAAGAGTGGGATGCTTAACCGAGTCAGCTACCCAGGTGCCTAATTAGTGAACTTTATGAACCTTGAAAAAGTTAGTGTAACTCTGACTTTGTTCCTTTTTAAACTTGTTTAAGACTATTCTGAGTCCTTTGAATTCACATACAAATTTTAGAATCAGGTCGTCAATTTCTGTAAAAATGCCTGCTGAGATTTTGATTGGGACTGCATTGAATCTGTAATGACATCTTGAGGCTCTTTTTTTAAAGATTTTATTTATTTATTTGACAGAGAGAGATGGCGAGAGGAGGAACACAAGCGGGGGGAGTGGGAGAGGGAGAGGTATCCTTTTAACATAAACATACTGATAAATTCAGTTTGATAAAACTTTGTTAAGCTTTGCATCCATGTTTATGGGAGATATTGGTCTGTAGTTTTATTTTTTTGTAACATCTGCTTTTGTTAACAGAGTAATACTGCTCTCATAGAATGAGTTGGGAAGTATTTCTTTAGTTTTCTATAAGACTTCCCTCATGTACAACTGATAATCATTTTTTCCTTAAATGTTTGCAAGAACTTTCCAGTGAAGCCATTGGGGCTAAAGTTTTCTCTCTGGAAGAAGACAATATGATGGAGGTGGATGGGACAGGATTCCATGTAATTATTAACAAAATCCTAACTTTTGTTGTTCAGTGAGCCTGTGGATGATTATTACATTATTAACAATACTTTCCTAATAAAAGCAGGCCATGCATGACTGTGTGTCATTACCAAGGTTTGTGAGTAATCTAATTCTGTGTGCCTGAGATAAAAATAACAAATAGCTCTAGTCCTGAGCTATTACCTGAATCACTCGATCATATCTAGAGTTACCTATTAGAGATTTCTTCTTGTACAACCAATAAAATTTGCCCTTCATTCTCATAGCTTCTCAAACCTTAGAATTATTTCCGGTTCATTCTTCTTTTAGATCTCCTAAATTATGATAGATTGTCAAGATTTGTGAATGTTTCTTTCAAATTTGTTCATATATATTTCACTGTTTTCACTGCCTCCATAACAACATAGGTGAGCCTTTATCAACTTACACTTTGATTACAATTTGATAATCACACCTAAATCCAAATTTCAATTCTGTGCTTCCTAGTTAGGATTAGATAACATATGTGAAAAATTCTAGAATAATACCTAACAGTAGGTACCCATAATTTTGATTAATTTCATTATTCATGGTCTCCCTCACTACCTTTTTTACCCTCTTCAGTAAAAAACTACATTTCCGTGCCAGTGAGCACACATTAATATATTATTTGTGTAATCTAAAAGAGTAATACCAAAGGGTAAAAGGAAATTTTGAGCAATCTCACATAGGATTATAGGGGTTGATAAATTTAGCTAAATTAACTGGCCAGAGGGAACTTCAGAGAAAATTTTTTTTTTGGGGGGATGAAATGAAAGAAAATTGTGTGGTTTGGTGATGGTGAAAAATTAGCCTGTCGGGCGCCTGGGTGGCTCAGTTGGTTAAGCGACTGCCTTCGGCTCAGGTCATGATCCTGGAGTCCCGGGATCGAGTCCCGCATCAGGCTCCCTGCTCGGCAGGGAGTCTGCTTCTCCCTCTGACCCTCTTCCCTCTCGTGCTCTCTATCTCTCATTCTCTCTCTCTCTCAAAAAAAAAAAAAAAATCTAAAAAAAAAAAAATTAGCCTGTCAAGAACAGTCCTGGAGAATAAATGAATCAGCTACCTTCATTTAATTTTTTAAAAATCTTCAAATTATATCTTGACTTATTTATAGATTCAGAATAAAGTAAGTTTAATTTTTAAATTCAGTATGAGTAAAGCCAGTTAAAATAGTCTTTTAAATATCATTTCAGTATTCTGAGATCTGAAAGTCTGTGAAAATTTGAATAGTACTAACTTTAACTTTTTTAAAGAAAATATGAGCAAGTGATCCTTTGCTGAGTTTGCTCTGTTCTGCATTTTGATGATAAAAAAGCTGTAGCAAAATAAGTTTATTGGCTTTTTCTCTTACAGACTTGTCTTTTAAGGTGTAGATTACAAACCAGTAGGAATTCCTATCTCTTAAATAGTTTTATGTTAGAGAAAAAAAATTTCAAGATCAAGCAGGCAAATATCTATATGTTTCCTTTATATTTTTTATTATTTTTAAAGATTTTATTTAGAGGGAGAGGGACAAGAAGACTCCACACTGAGCGCAGAGCCCAATGCAGGGCTCGATCCCACAACCCTGAGATCATGACCGGAGCCAAAATCAAGAGTCAGAGGCTCAACCAACTGAGCCACCCAGGCGCCCCAGGATTCCTTTATAATTTTTAAAAGGTGTGACTCTGCCTGGTAGAAACAGCATTCTATTCCAGTAGCTAACCCAGTTGTTTTTCTGTGCTAAAGTTAAAGGTATGAATTTGACTACGTTTGGATCATTAACTTCACAAGAAAGTATTCTATTCCACAGTCCTTATCAAAACGATCACACTAATACATCCTTGGATCACATATGAATAAAATGATGATAATAATCCAAGCTAACATTTATGGAGCCTTTACTGTGTGCCAGGTAATGTGCCAAGTGTTTAACAAGCATTATTTCATCCACTCCCCTCAATAACCCTTTCAGGTAAAAACTATTATCCACCCTCTCTCAAAATTTCCAAGCCCAGTAATTTTAAAATTCTTAAGTGGTTCCGGGGCACCTGGGTGGCTCAGTCGGTTAAGCTCAGGTCATGGTCCCAGGGTCCTGGGATCAAGTTCCACATCAGGCTCCCTGCTCAGTAGGGAGCCTGCTTCTCCCTCTGCCTCTCTCCCAGCCTGTGTTCCCTC